CCTCAGACTCTGCGGAGCGGCTGCGCGCCGCGGGCAACCAGAGCTTTCGCAACGGCCAGTTCGCCGAGGCTGCGGCGCTCTACAGCCGCGCGCTGCAGGTGATGCAGGAGCAAGGTACACGCCTGGCCCCCGTTTCCTCCGCCAGGGCCGCCGCGCTCTCCGTCGTCCCGGACCCCGACTACCCAGAGCTCGCTCTGTGCCTGCCTTCCTGGGGCTTCCTTCCCCCCAGGCCGACCGCCCACCGGCGCTCCCACCGCCCTTCCCGCCCATTCCCCGCGTTGGGCGTCCTACCAGAAACTTCCTTGGCCCTTGCTTTCCGCCTTTAAAGAAAAATTGTAATATAGTTTTATTACTGGTTCTGTTTCACCTAATGACATATCAAAAGCATATTTTCATATTAATAGGTGTTTTTATCACCTTTTGATTGTGGTAAAATCACATTAAGTTTACCATCTTAACCGTTTTTAAGTGTAGTGTCAAGTACGTACTATTCACATTGCTGTGCAGCGGATCTCTAGAACTTTTTCATTTTGCAGCACTGAAACTCAATACCCACTGAACACTAGTTCCTCCCTCCCTCAGCCCTTGGTATCTGCCTTTCTACTTTCCGTATCTATAATTTTAACTACTTTAGATATTTGAAATGAGCATTTGTCTTGTATGACTGACTTATTTCCCTTAGCATAATGTCCTCCAGGACAGTATAATCCATGTTGTAGCACGTGTCAGGATTTCCTTTTTTTAAGGTTGCATAATGTTCCATTGTATCGGTATACCACTTTTTTTTATCCATTTATCCATTGATGGACATTTTGAGTTGCTTCCCCCTCTTAGCCTTTGTGAATAATGCTGTGATGATCGTGGGTGTGCAGATATCTCACAAGATCCTGCTTTGAATTCTTTTGGATATATACCCAGAAGTGGGATTGCTGGATCATAGAGTAGTTCTGTTTTCCATAGTTGCTGCACCATTTTACATTCTCACCAACAGTGCACAGTGGTTCCAACTCCTCAGCATCCTCACCAGCCCTTCTTTTCTGTTCTTTTGATAGTGGCCGTCCTGATAGGTATGAGCTGCCTGCTTTTTAGCTGTCCTAATGGTCCCCATCCTGTCATTCAGGCCTCATTCCGTTATATAGCTCAACCTTCGTTCTCCTCAACCATACATTCTTCAGTTAAATTGATAATTGTTGAGCATCTGTATGTACTGAGTGTATAAGGAGACAGAGAAGGTCCTTTCTTTCAACGATCATACATTCTTGTTTTGGGGGAGGGGTGGATCTTAAGCTAGTAAACAAGACCTCTTTGATGATTAGGGGTATGTAGAAGACAAATACGGTGATGTGAGAGCGTTGAGTAGGGCGCTCCATTAGAATGGGGGGTCAAGGACAACTTTGAAGAGGTGACATTTGAGGTGAGAAGAAGCCAGGTGCACAAAGTTTTGGGTGCTGAGCATTTCAGGTGGAGGGGAACTGTAATTATAGGCATACATCGTTTCTATTGTGCTTCTCTCTATTGCGCTTCCCAGATGTTGTGATTTATAACAAATGGAAGACAAGGTCTTCCACCAGCAAAAAGGTTACTACTTGCTTTATTGTGGTGGTCTGGAACCGAACCGCAATATCTCTGAGGTATGCCTGTACAAAGGCACCCAGACGAAATAAGCATGGTGTGTGTTCCAGGAGCCAAAGCATGCTGAGCCAGTGGAGGGAGAAGTAATACGAGGTCAGTTTAACAGGCAGAACCTAATTGTATAGACATTTTATACACTAGTTCATGGTAAGGTGTTTGGGTTTTATTCAGAGAGTTTTAAACAGAAGAGTATCATGTTCTTATGCGTTCTCCCAGCCTCCAGCTCATTTCAGCCAACCATAGCCCTTTACCCCAAACCTCTTCTCCTAAGTGTCTTACCAAGGAGCCCTCATTGGAACCCCTTTTCTGTAGTACTGATTACCCTTTGCCTTCCTTCTCTTTCATTTTTTTGGCTAGCACTTGTTGAGTGATTTACTGTGTGCTAGACATTATAGACATTTTCGCTTTATATCTTTATACTAACCTTTGACTAAGACACTTTATACTCTTCCTCACCTCTGCCTACAGAGGTGACAGCTATCTCCTACTCGACACATGGCTGCCCTCAGACCCCTCGTGAAACCTAAGATCCTCAAAAAGAGTACCGAGAAGTTCATCTGGCACCAGTCACACCAATTTGTCATAATTAAGCGAACTGGTGGAAACCCAGAGGCATTGACAGTAGCATGCACAGAAGATTGAAGGGCCAGATCTTGATGCCCACCATTGGTTATGGGAGCAACAAGAAAGCAAAGCACATGCTGCCCAGTGGCTTTTGGAAGTTTCTGGTCTACAACATCGAGGAGCTTGAAGTGCTGCTGATGTGCAACAAATCTTACTGTACTGAGATTGCTCACATTTCTTCAAAGAACCTCAAGCCCATTGTGGAAAGAGCAGCCCAGCTGGCCATCAGAGTCACCAATCCCAATGCCAGGCTGTGCAGTGAAGAAAATATATAGACAGAGTGTGTACACATTGTATTTGTGTTAATAAAGCCATAAAATTCTGCCGTCTGGCAAAAAACACACACCCAAAAACTTAATAGATGAGGAGTTCAGAAGAGTTAAATAGCCTACCCCAGGGTTATACAGTGAAGACATGTCATAGGCAGGATATGGGTCTGTCTGATTCCCAAATCCCAGTTTTTAATCATTTTGTTAGACTTCTCCCTAAATTCTTTGCAAATTGTGGTCTTTTTTTGTTTGAACTTTTGCAAGCTACTCTTGCCCCCTTCTTTTTTCTAGAACACTCCCTTTTAGGCCCATCTGCTTGTCTCAGCCTTACTTGAGGTCGCTGAAGAATGTTAGATATTGATACTTCTTCCTTTTTCTTTCATCCTACCCCAGCCTACCTGGAATAGCATGTGCTTTTGTATGGATTTATTCTGGGTCCCTGCAAGAGCTAGCCTGTATCTAGATTTAGTAGGGGATCAGAGTTTGGATCTCATCCATGTCTAGATAATATGTGGGAAAATCCCTTGATTTTTCTGATCGATTTCTGTGTTTGAAAAGAAAAGCAGAGAGCAACCTAACACAATGAACCTTCGAGCAAGTCTGTGAAGTGATATCTTCATGTGATAGGAGATCACATGTGATCAGAGGGAGTGAGTGACTTGTGCAGCATCACAGGCTGGATTGTAGATTCTGATGCCCTTCCCACCATACCACTGCTGCTTCTGAGCACCCATATTCTAGGGACTTAAGATGGATTATAGGTCTTGAGTGCTTATACTTGTTCCTTAAGGGCAAGAATATGTTTTACTTATCTCTGTATATTGCTGTCTCACTCAGGGCCTGACAAAATAAGAAAAGAGTTGTTATGTTATTGTTGGTATTGAGTGAAAGACCGGCATCAATATGGTAACATGATTATTAGTGAAAAAAGCAAGTTGCAGAAGGATAGACAATAGGGTGCCACTTAGGAAAAGCTTTAAAAGATATAAAATAATATCTTACCTGTGATTGCATATATAATAAAGATAGACAGACAAGCATGAAAATATTACATGCCAGCTTCAGGATTGTGCCGACATCTGGGGTTCTGGGGACAAGGCAAAGGGGAAAGGATGGGCAGGAGTGGAGCTTTAGCCATAATCAAAAATAAAAAAGATTGAAAATAAATATATGCTAAGTGTAGTGATGGATACTGAGTATCTGTTATACTGTTTTCTGTATGTTTTACAATTTTCAAAGGAGAACTTGTTTTCAATTATTTTTGGTATATACCTGGGAGTGCAATTACTGGGTCAACATGTAATAGTTTCCTTTTTTATTTTTTCATTACGGCCCATGCTAGTGGGTATACAGTGGTTGAAAAATTATTTTTAAAAATGAAAGTTATTGTGACCACAGTAAAGGACACGAGCTTCTGAGATTCCTGAAGGTGAAGACTGCCTTTAGGGAGATGTCTGATAATTCACCCCACTGGGAAGCTTGAGTCCTTCCCCTGGTTAAGTTCTCCATAATCCTGCCAGACCCAGGGGAGTTTTCCCTGGCAAAGTCCTGTCTGCTTTGAATTAATCTCTTTTATTTATTTTTTCTTCTTTGTTTGGTTTACATGCGTTTTGTAATAAAATGAACACACACACACACAAGTAGTCACAGTATGGATTTCTTTGAGGCAGTAGTCAGCTGTTTCATGTTTATCTTTTGCCTGGTACCAAGCTTAATGCTGGCGTGAGTGAATAAGTTGCTTGATGTTCTCACTGCTATGTACTAATGGCAAACTTGCCATCCTATCGGACCAGCAAGCCTGATCAGGTTACAGTCATCTGTGCTCCCTTTTACCATTGCCCAGAGAGCTCAGAGTGAAATGCACTTTGTGTCCCAAGGCATCCATTTCCCAAATTGTTGACTCATGTTTTCTGCTTCCACCCGGGCAGGTTCTTTGGACCCTAAAGAAGGAAGCGTTCTCTACTCCAACCGAGCAGCATGCCACTTGAAGGATGGGAACTGCAGAGACTGCATCAAAGATTGTACTTTGTAAGCGGTCAAGGGAAACTTTGGGGTACCTAAGGAGCTCAGAAGAGGAAGCTGAGTTTATCTGGCCTGTTTCTTCTTTGGACTAATCCCACCAGTTACTGGGAAGTATCACTAGGTCACTGAGAATAGGAGGCTCTACTTGGTCTTTGTGTCCCCTGTCTTTTACCTTTGGAATCTTGGCTCTGCTGCTGTAAAAGGAGTAGAGTGGGTACTTACAGGTGGGCCTTTGTGAGATTTGAGACCTGGGGATGAGGTAGAGTTGTAGACTAGTTAGTGGCTTGCCCAGGTTTTTTCTGGGGTGGATGTGTGAGAGAGAGGAAGAGAGGGAGGGAGAGAAAGAGAGAGGATAATAGTTAGCTGGGAAAGAGGCAAGGAGAAAAGAGAAAATGGTATTAATCAATGATCAGGTGTAGAGGACATTAAACAGTTTTTCATACTTTTTTCTTCTTCAAGCAAGTCTGGTATTGCCTTCTTTCATCATTGCTAAACTAGCCTGCATACCTTAGTGTGCTCTTAGATCTGATATCCATGACATTACCTTATATCCATGCCCTGGTGATATATGGGAGTGTGCTCATGGATCTTGTGCTAAGTTGATTAGTACCAGGTCCTATGCTTGGTTTCCTTCTGAGCGTGCTCATGACCACTCTGTGGGGTAAATTTACCGTCTTTCTAATGCTAGAACTGGGTTGCAGAGAATTGAGGCAGTAAAGTGATTTACCTGAGATCACATGGTTAGTGGCAGAGGTGAAATTCAAACACCACTCCATCTGACTCCAAAGCCTCTATGACATTCCCATCGGGCCACCACTCTGTGGAAACACATAGAAACATAAAGCTACAAGGTACTTGTTCTTTATTTTGGGGGGATTGCAACCATGAAAATTGATGCATGTGCACACAAATTTCATAATATTAGTGGCTCTCTGCCCTCGTTCCCTTCTCTACCTCAGTCTAGTTGAAAAGTCCCTCTTCTAAGGTTTGACATTTTTAGTAATGTCTCTGTGCCAGAAATGACCCCCTATATATGGAATGCTGTAGTTGAGCCTGCCTGGAAGGAGCTATGAGGGGAGCTCTGGTGACTTAGCAGCCAGATGACATTTCTGCCTCCTCCTCTAGAGCACTGGCCTTGGTTCCCTTCAGCATGAAGCCCTTGCTGCGGCGAGCGTCGGCCTACGAGGCTCTGGAGAAGTATCCCCTGGCCTATGTTGACTACAAGACTGTGCTGCAGATTGATGACAGTGTAAAGTCGGCCTTGGAAGGCGTCAACAGGTGAGCATGGGTCACTGTGGGCATTGCCTCTGAAACTCCCTGCCCTCTGTCATTGGCTTGGCACTGTTACTTTGTTCATCTTCTGGAAGGATCTCTTTGGGATAGGCTTAGAAATCCCTAATGTCCTTGTGGGGAAAGTGTGGAAGGAGAATTTGCTGTTATGTTTGGTAGGTATTTAAGGGGTCAGGATTACTGAGTTGCTTTTTTTATTTTGTTGTGTTTGTTTTTGTCTAGGTGCTCACATTCATTCACATAGTAGTAATTTGTTGAGCTCTGTTAGAGGTGTTGTGCCAGGTTCAGTAGGAATAGCAAAACAGAGATACAGACCCCACTTGCCTCAAGAGCTAACTAGAGTGGGGAAAGTAAGACCCAAGCATAAGCAGCTCAGACACAAGGCTATAGGGATATTGTTTGTGGATATGGTTCAATATATTGTACTACGACCCCTTCACAAGGCCCCTCAGCAGTTGACGTGTCATGGATGTCCTTATTTGTGTGATTGATCATGTTGCCCTTCTTTGCATGGGCTGCTAGAAAGCCAAACACCACACTAATAGCAAACCCTTGTTAGGACTTTATGGAATATATTTGTGCCTGATTTCTGGCTTGATTTGTTTTTTTCCTGCCTCTTTTTGTTTCTATCATTCAATAAAATCTGCCGCTTCTGTGCCAGACTTGCACTAGGGTATGGGCTGATGCCTGAGACATATCTCTTCCTGTCCCAATAGAGATCCTGGTCTCATGGAGAACACTAGTCAGTAATAGGCAAACACAGTACAAGGCATGAGGCCGCACAGAGGCAGTAGGAGCAGAAAGGAGGCACCTAACCAGCTAGGTGGAGGCCAGAGTGGGTTTCTAGAGGAGGTGAGCTGAGACAGAGATGAGTAGAGATCTGGGGCCAAAGGCCAGCCAGGAGAAAGGGCAGCCTGTGCAAGAGTGAGCAAGTGTGAGCGTGATATACTACAGAAACTGAGAAGTCCATTTCACATGGTGCTGTAGGCCAGGAGCTCAGCTCAGGATGGGTGGTGAGGCCAGGTCACACAGGGCTTGGTGTTCAGGGGCTTGGACTTAATCCAAGCACAGTGAGGCATCGTGAAAAGGCCTTAAGCAGGGGAGCAAAATGAGCAGGTTTGAGGGAGCAGCTCACTGGCTGTCATGTGGAAGGATTACATGAAAGAACAGACTGGGAAGGGGGGGCATGCACTAATGCAGAAGAGATGGTGGAGACATTGGATAGAGAGCAGTGGAACCGTTCAGGAAATACTTAGGCAGTATTTCAACAAATTTTGGTGGGTGGGGTGGTGAGAAGGAAAGAACAGAAGAGACATCCGGGGGTTGACATGTTGAGTTGGAGGTGATTATGGGATGTGAGACTAGAGAGGTGGGTGTTTACCTCTCTAGTCATTGAGTATTTACATGGGTTTGGAGCAAAGCAGAAAAATACAGGCCAGACATACAGATTTGAGGGTTATCAGCGTAGAGGTGAATCGAGGTTGTGGGAGAAAAGAACACAGCAGGTATGTAGGGAGACGAGGATGGAGCTGTGAGAAATTCCAGTATTTAAGGGACTTTCAGAGGAGCAGCAGCTAGTGCGGTGGGAGGAAACTTGAAGCATTCATCGTTACAAGGGAAGGAGTATTTCCAGAAGGATGAAGATGTCCGTGTCAGGTGCTCCAGTGAGCTTAAGTAGATGAAGGGTTGAGGAATGAAGTCACTGGTGATTCTGATAGAAGCAGTTCAGTGGGATCAGATGGCAGTGGGTTCAAGAAGTCTGGCAGTGAGGAGGCAGAGGAGTGTAGCTGTGGTGGCAGAGGGATGTCCAGGAGGGTTTTACTAAGTGAGGAAAGAATTAAATACTGGTAGTTGGAGTCAGCAGAGAAAAGCAAAAGGATACAGGAGAGGGAGATGCTGGCTGAGTGTGGCCCTTGAGAGAGGCAGGAAGAGATGGGGTCCAGAGCTTAGGTGGAGGGATTGGCCTCATCAGCTCTTCTGTTGTGACCAGAGAGAAATAGGAAGGGTTGGGTTCCTGTGCAGGTATGTTTGAATTTGGAGGAGGAGGGTTAGGGAGCAGAGTTGAGGAGATTAGAGGGTTCAGATAGCTGGGCTGATCAACAAAACAGCTTTGGGGGCTTAGTCAGAGACCTTGAATTTGTAGTGATATTATTGTGGTGTTTTCATTGTAGTATTATAGGAGCATGGTGGTAAGAGCAGAAAAAGCATACAGTTGGCTTTATTCACTCATTCAACACATACTTACTGGATCTTGGTGGGTTCCAGGTAATGATGTGCTGGGTGCTAGAGTTTAGTTGACAAATCCGACATGGTCACTGAGCAGCATTTTGAGCAAGTTAACTGGGCCTAGAGGGTAGGTATAGGGGCTGGGAAGTGGAAGAGATTGTTCCACAAAGAGGACAACCGTGTGCAGAGGCTTGAACATAACGGTCAGGAAGGAATGTGGCAACTGATAAAGATGGAGAGGTGGGAGGGGACCCGATCTCAGACCCTAAGGAAATGGGAACCACAGAAGGATTTTAAAATTTGAGAATGACAAGATTTGCATTTTTAAAAAATCTCTGAGCATTAACCCAATATCAGGTGCTTGCATGGCTTTATAATAGATCCATTAAGAAACTATAAAACATGGACCTTCCCTAGGGAATGTGTGGTGCTTTTGGGGTAAGGTAGGGATTAAGTACCCTTAAGGAGCAACAAACAGATCATCACTTTGAAGTTAACATGGTGTGACCAAACGAGGGCCAGGCAGGGAGGGAGCGTCATGGTGGGCTGAACTGAGAAGACTTTTGTGGGTGGCAGACTGATGTTCCTCTCCTGCTGCATGTCAGGAGGATATAAAGAGGTGGTTCAAACCAGGGGAAGATGATAACTCTGGCTTTCTATACTTACTTTGGGTTTATGAGAGGAGGAACGTTTTAACCCAGCCGGAAACCTCCCTGTAATCCTGCCTTTGTTTCCAGAATGACCAGAGCTCTCATGGACTCACTTGGGCCCGAGTGGCGCCTGAAGCTGCCCTCTATTCCCTTGGTGCCTATTTCAGCTCAAAAGAGGTGGGATTCAGAAAACCACAAAGAGACAGCTAAAAGCAAATCCAAAGAAACCACAGCTGCCAAGAGCAGAGGTAAGCTGTGACTTCCTGCTCAGTTTTGCAATTTCCCCGTAGCCACTTTCGTTAAAGTAATCCTGTAAAAATTGGCCTCGTTTAAGCTGAGTTATAAAAAATAATATTAAAAAAGTCTTAACCTTTTAGAGACTGCCTCAATTCTACAAGGGTTGTAAGAAAACCTTCCCCACTGGAAGGATTAAGTGATACTTTAAGGCATGTTGAGCTCCTAACCTGGCACATAAGTATACAGTGTTGGTTCCCTGCTCTCTTCTGGCAGCATTTGGGATACGAGAACAGAAAACTCACCATGGTAAAAATACCAGAGAGATCTTATTGGCTAATATAATTGAAAAATCCAGAGTTCGAGTTCAGGCAAGGTTTGCCCAGCAGCTCATCATTTACCAGGCTCTGACTCCATTTCTCTGTACTTCTCTCAGCTTTCTTCTCTGGTGTGGTCAGGTTTGTCTTCGGGCAGGCTTCCCTCTTAGCAACAAAATAGCTATGGTAGTTTCTGGTGTCACATCCATATACCCTGCCTCATGACCCAGAGGGAGAGAAAAACTTTTTTTCTGAGAGGATTTCTTTCCCCCAAATCCCTAACTCACATATTTTCTGTTTATTCTGGCCTGTTTGGTCACAGGCCATTCCCTGAACTAGTCACTGTGGCCAAGGGCTGAGATTTTGTGGTTAGCTCCGCTCTAAGCCATCTGCCCTACCTCCACAGTTAGAGGGTAATGCTTCCCCAGGAACACGAGCACTGTGTGCACCCTTGGGGAGGAGAAATAAGAGAAGGGAGATAAAAGGCAGGTAGCCCTAACAGGAGACAGTCCACCTCAGCTGTGAAACAAAGAGGCCATTCTTCAGGCAGGGGTCACTGGATGCTCTGATAATGTTCCTGAGCAATTATCCCAGCTCAGCAACTAGGTGTCGAGGAGAGACAGTGCAGAAGGGGTCAGGGCTGGAGCCTTGTGTGAATGGCAGGAGTTACCCCTTCCTAGGAGGAAACCTGTCTGGCCATAGGTAGCATTTGGTCTGGTTTGTGGGAGCCTGGTAGCTGTTCCCTACTCTTCTCTAGAATGAAAATGTGGGGTGCTAATGAACTAGATGGCTTCAGTGCACCTACTATTTATTTCATTCTTTCAGAGTCACTGAGCCATGTGTGTTCCAGGCCCTGTGCTAAGCATTGTGACACAGGATGGGCAGTCTTGGCCCTCGGAAGCTCTTGGTCTAATGAGAGACTGAGACAGACAGCATTTTAAAATACAGGAGTTAAGAACAAGTGCTTAAGAGTCTTGAGTATTTGGGGAATTCAGAATTAGAATTGATGTATCTTGGGGGAGTCGGGAAAAGGCTCATGGGGTGGCAGTGGAAGTGATGGGTTGAGCTAGGCCTTAAAGGGTGAGTTCTTCAGGTGGGAAAGGGAGAAGGGATGGAAATTCTTGGCAGACAGTGGAGAACTTGAGGAGTGCATGCTAGTGAACGGCGGGCGTAAGCATGACTGTAGCATGTGGTGTGTTGCAGAGCCGGGGCAAAGCTGAAGCTGTGTGCACATTGCAACCTATGGGCTCTCCTTGTAGATAAACTCATGCACGTGTGTACAAGGAGACATGTACAAGAATGTTCACAGCAGAATGTTTATAACAGCAAAAAACAAAACTGGGAATAACACACGTCTCCATAAGTAGGAGGATGGAGAAGCAATCGTATTGCAGTGAGAACGGATGAACTGCTGTAGGCTTATGCATCAGCCCAGACCTGTCTCAGGGTGTAACGCCGAGGGGAAAGAAAGCAAGGTCACGGAAGAAAACATAGAATTACTTCTTTCTTTACGTAAGATTCAAAAACAAATAAACAACAAATGTCTTATAGATACTATTGTATGTAGTAAACTACCAAAAACAAGGGAAGGACGCACAGAAGTGGTGATAATGGTTGCCTCCAGGGGTGGATTGATTTGGGGAAGGGCCCACAGGGCTTCAAAGGTCCTAGCGAATGTTCTGTTTCTTAAGGTGAGGGATGTTAATGTGTTAGTTTTACTCCTAAAACCATACCCTTGTCATAAATATTTAGTATTTTATAAAGATAGTTTTTAAAAATTAAAAAAGCAGGTGATATGGGAGCTGGGGCTGGAACAATTAATTCAGGCCTGAAGGCCAGGTCGAGCAGCTTGGATTTCACCTTCTCTCTCCTATTTCTCCTTGAAAGCTGGGGCAGATGTATTAGGTGAAGCTCAAACCAAGACAGTGATGAGGAATAGCACCCGTCTTCCTTTTTCTGAAAGCCTGGGAGCTATACCCTTTCTTTACCAGATGCTTATTTAAATAATTATTCTCCTGCTTTAAGTTCACAGGAGGTTCTGCACTTTCTTCTGTGGTCTCAGATTTCCTCCTGACAATAGCCTTGTGTAGAGTAGGTGCTGCTCCATTGTAGTGGTGAGGAAATTGAGATCCAGCAGAGTAGGTGGGTCACACAAGATCTTCCAGCTACCAAGGGGCAGTGCCAAGGCTGGAACCCAGGTTGTTTTTTATCATGTGTATGTTACTATGTGCATGTATAAGTATGTTTATATCAGGATCCCCCAACCTCTTCTGAATGAAAAGCCATGTTCAATTTCCCAGAAGCCATTGATTGGGGGAACCATTAATCAGGAAGGACGCTTTACAACGGAGTAGAAAACCTCTGGGGAGAGAGGGTTGTGGACGACTTAGAAGAGACGATGCTGAAGAGACCTTACTGATCTCAGTCGGGCACCTGCTCCATGGTTTTTTCCTCTTCTGAATTTGTATCTAGTGCCTTCTTCTGGGGATGTGGAAAGAGCCAGAGTTCTCAAGGAAGAAGGCAATGAGCTTGTAAAGAAGGGAAACCATAAGAAAGCTATTGAGAAGTACAGTGAAAGCCTCTCGTTTAGTAATCTGGAGTCCGTCACGTACAGCAACAGGTACCTTCCCCACAGCTGCTGGCCTGGGGGATTTCAAGGCATTGGATAATCTTCTCTTGGACTGTCATGGGCTCTTCTTCTCTAGCATTTAATCAGTATGTAACAGCTTAGAACATGCATTCACACTCATTTTGGTCACTGTGAGGCAGGCATTGCCAAAGGCGTTCACTCTCTTAAAGGGATAGAAACAGGGATGCCAAAGGGGAGCCTGGGCTTTGTTAACCCTCCTCCCCACAATTTTCATTAACCACCCATATCAATACACAATGTCTTGCTACACAGACACAACCTCAATACTAGTCTTGTAGCCTTTCCACCTTCCCTTCTCCCACCCCATGGCTTCTCCAAGACCCTCCTGCTAGAAACTTTGGCACTGAGAGCATAGGGCAGAACCCAGGGTTTGGAGTAATTATCACCTGGCCTAGGAGTGAGAGAGGCAGGTCCAGGCTACCTTGAGGGGTTAGACTCCTGGCACTGTAGAAGGCCCTGCATCTGTACCATATGCTACTCTTCAGTTCAGAAATCTTGGATCTACTATAGGCTCACCATTCCTTATCCAAATCTATGTTTCAGATTTTATGGCCCATATACTGAATCACACACCATTTAGGGTCTGGGGCAGCTTGTGAAGTTGTTAGCATTTCTGCCGTGAAACAAGGAAATTCCACATTCACGTGTGGTGGTATAAAGACAGACTAGCCTCATGTCAGTTCAGGTCAGAGGTTACTACCTAAAGAGTTGAAAAAAACTTTCAGTTTGGAAGCCTAAAATTTGGACCTGCAGTTTTCCTGGCTGATTGGACAAGAGGTGCCTCAATCTGCCAGGCTAACTTGAAAAAGAGGGCTGCAGCCCACTTGTTCATGTTCGAGCAGCAGCATCTCCTACCTTCTCTTTCTCTGGCCTTGCTCACCTCATGTTGCTGGAGACCTCTAGTAACCCATTTTCATGCATATGTGTCTGTGCCACAGTTTAAATTACTGTTGCTTTATAATATCTTGTAGGGCTGGTCTTTCTCTTATCCTTTTCAATCAGAGCAGCCCTGGCTCTTTTCCCAGATTTGCTCTTCTAGCTAAACCTTAGGATCATTTTGACAAATTCCCAAAGTATCTTGTTGGGTTTTTGTGGTTACATTGAATTTATAAATTTAACTTAGAGGACTGATAACTTTATACAAAACTGAATATTCCATCCATTGTGGCTGAAACTATACCACATCCTGGATGTTGTTTTAATGCTCCACTTCATGCATATGCCCTGTGTGGATCAGTGCGTCACCTTTGGCTCACTTCAGTTCTCTTAGTGCAGTTGATACCCAAGAGGAAATCAGCACTCAGGTACCCAGCCCCTACAGCTTGCCAAGTCCTGCATGGATTTCCAGAGACTCATTTAGCCCTCATAACAATTCTTCAGGTTAGGTCGTGTTCCCATTTTGGAAAGATGAAGTAACAAGCACAAAGTTAAACAACTTATATGTGGTAGAGCTGTGACTGAAGCCAGGTCTCTCTCTTTTTTTTTTTTAATAAGACACATTTTAATAGAAAAACAAATGACCCATGTTTTATACATTGCATTTTCCCAGAAAATCTAGAGCAAGGGGTCACTCCATATTTTCATACTAGATCAGTGCTGCAGGTTGAAACCAGGTCTTTGTGACTCCAAAGCTTGAGTTCCTTTTTACTCACTCATGTTATCTCTCAGACTGCTTTATAATGAAAAATAAATTAGGTACATCCAACTAAGTGACTACTATGCACCCATTCAAAACGATGAGGTGGGGTGGATGGACTTCTGTCCCGAGCTCCAGGGCATCTGACTGTTTTTAGTGACTGTCTTTGGAGAAAAGGACTGGATTTGAGTGAGGAAGACACACACACACTCTCCCCCATGGATGCAGAGTGGCTGCTTGTGGGGATGTACATGACTTTTTTCCAACATTTTATTTTGAACATTTTCAAAATATAAGTTGAAAGATTTTTTCATTGTACACCCATATAAATACCATCTAAATTCATAATTAACATTTTGTTATATTTGCTTACTACTGAGCCGTCTATTGATCCATGTTACTTTTGATGCATTTCAAAGTTGCAGACACCTTTACATCTCATCCCTAACACTTCAGCTTGCATATCATTAATTAAAGTCAGTATTTATACTTTTGTTTCCTTAAGGCAGGTAATTTCTTAATCTGTCAAGGGGAAGGTTTCAGAAAGCCTTTTCTTTGCTCAAAAGAGCACAGTATGGGAATGTGAGGCAGACAAAATGCTAGAACTCAGGTCAGGGTCTGGAGGCAGGAGAATCCAGGTGGAGTCCCAGGTCTGCCCCTTGATAGTGGGAGAACCTTGAGCAAGGCGCTTCACCCCCGAGCCATTGTTTTCACCTGTGGGAAAGGGCTGGGGTTGTGGGATTGAAGACCACGTAAAATAAGCAACACAGAGTAGGTGTTTGGTGAATCAAGATCACGCCTCAAACTATACCTCTGGCTCTGTGTGGCCCCTAAGTAGTGACTGAAGCCTCGGAACGGTCTTGGTCTTTCCCTGTCAGAGCGCTCTGCTATTTGGCCCTGAAGCAGTACAAGGAAGCGGTGAGGGACTGCACAGAAGCTCTCCAGCTGGATGGGAAGAACGTGAAGGCGTTTTACAGACGGGCTCAAGCCTATAAGGCACTTAAGGTAAGAAGATCCCAACCAAAAGGCCCCAACTAAGTTACAGGCATTTGTACCTGTGATGGCACTTCCAGATTATGGTCAAGGTGAGGTGGTGTCTGCCACATCTCATCTGGGGGCCCAGGGCAGCTCAGGTCAGGCCTGTGTGCTGGGGTTTGAAAAGCCTCTTTGTCTCAGCAGCTGTCCCCACTCCCATTTGATTTCACCTCAGTCACAGCCCCATCCCCACACCCTTCTCTCTTCTATTAGGACTATAAATCCAGCTTTGCAGACATCAACAGCCTCCTAAAAATTGAGCCCAGGAACGGCCCTGCACAGAAGTTGCAGCAAGAAGTTAATCAGAACTTAAACTAAAAACCCAAAAGGGCAGCAGGAAACCACCAGACGACCTTCCTCTGTGCCTGCTCCTGGGACCCAGCATGCCCCAGAGTGAGCTCTGAAGCACCCTCCTCTGCCCCACAAAGAGGTCATGGTCTCCCACCCCTTAAGAGGCTTTGTTCAAATTAAGCTCAGTGTGGCCAAAAACCAGATATTGTTTTGCTGGAAAGGTCCCCTGCTATGCTGAAGCCCTGTTCCCCATTCCCCTGCCTTGGACAGCTAGTGGATCACACAAACAGGTCCTCATCAGCAAAGCACTGGGCTCTGTCCCTGCCCCAAGCTTGCTCTGGACTGAGTGTTGCCCTTCGAGCTTCAGACCCACTTCAGTGTGGTTCATCTGAGTAAACTGAGTTGGGGGGTACAGGGGGGGCGGCCACAGGGCTAGAAAACCCTGGCCCACCCACATCTAAAGCAGCCTGTTGAGCTGGTTCTCCAGGGCTGCCATCCTGCCCTGTCCTTGGCATAGTCCCCTGTGTTCTGAGCTCCAGCCCCTTTTGGCCAGGCCCCACTTTGGTGGGGATGCAGAACCCTGACCCTTGGGTGGCTTTGTTGGGGGCTCTGTGCTGCCTCCTGCATGGAGATACCTNTCCCCTGTGTTCTGAGCTCCAGCCCCTTTTGGCCAGGCCCCACTTTGGTGGGGATGCAGAACCCTGACCCTTGGGTGGCTTTGTTGGGGGCTCTGTGCTGCCTCCTGCATGGAGAAAGCTGTTTCAGGAGCCCAGAGGTGTGGCCACTTCTGAAGGTGGGGTGGGAAGAAAGGCCTCCTTGAAGTCAGTGTCCTTCCATTCTGGGCAGGGACTTGCCTTTTGACCCCAACAGTGACCTTTCAGGCTTCTTATTTCTTTGTTACACGAAGTTAATTTGAACTGAACTGACTTGATTTTGTTGAACTGTGTGTTTGATTACATTAAACATCTACATAAATGTCTGTTGTATTTTCATTTATGCTTTTCAGCTTTGTGGAATAACAAAAGCTACCACTTTTGGAGCATTCAGATATTCATTCACTGAAATGTCTGCTGGGCCCAGGCCCTAGGTATAGTGCTAGGGAAACAAGTGATGAATAGACATGGTCCCTGTTCTCAGAGGGCTGATAGTCTAGTAGGATGGTGAGAAATTAATCAGATGATCCTAGGAACGAGTGTAAAACTGCAGCCAACTTACATGTTTTAAAGAAGTCATCACACAATACTTTTCCTGCCTAACTGGGGAGATTTGACCCCAGGGAGGGAAAGGGGTCCCTGAAGATATAAGTTTGAATTGAGTTCTAATGTGGGAGTTTAGCTGGTGAAGACGGGAAGGAAAAGGCCCTTGCTGGGAGGACACGGTGAGCACAGGGATCAGAAAGTGCCATTCCAGTACACAAAACATGGTATGGCTGAGGCTGGAGAGTGCTCTAGCATCCAGCCAGAACTCAGGGCTGCCTCCTGCTCCTGAGCTGTGTCCTGGTTCAATTGTTTTCCTCTTAATGGAGGGGCAGCTTGATGACTTCGTAAAGCAGAGCAGACAGGGTTTTCCTCCCTTCGCCCAGGCACTTACAGTGCTGAGCAGCTGTTAGCGTGCTGCCTCCGACCTCTTGAAAGGAGGAGTCTGTTGAGCAATCACAGGCCTGCAAGCTGAAGTAGGTTTAAGTCCACAGACAAAAGCCATGACCATGGCCAGGAGACCATTTCAAAGTGGATAACTGTACCCCTCTTAAGCAGACGTGGCTCTTACCTGATTTGAGCAGGCTTAGCAGTGACATCCTGTCACAACTTTCTCTTTTTGAGGTCTAGAAGGCAAGTATCTGGATTTACTCATGAAAACATAGAAGTGAGACCAGTACAACCTGAAGAGGCTTTTCCCTCCCTGCAGGGAAGGAAAATTATGACCTGGGAAGGTAGCCTAAAGTGTTTCCACAAGGGTTCTTTGTTTCACAATCCCTTGGCCCAGAGCCTAGAAATAGTTGCTGCTTCCGGGGTGTTTCCCTGCAGTTCAGGTGCTCAAACCAAGCATCCAGGTGTGGGCACCTGAAGCTTTAGTTTCTTAGTGCTATATGATGGTGACCAACTGTCCATCCATTGCACCACTGGTGGGTGGTAGCTGCTGCTTTGGGGCTCTCACAGAGCCCTGCGCAGTGCTGGGCAGTTCCACGCTATTGTCCACACCTGCTGTGTACTTCAATGCTTGTTTGGTTTTCTGTTCCTTGCAGTCTAAGCCCCAACCCAGTCAAGCCTACCTACCCTTTGCCCCACCTCCCTCACCCAAGAAGGCCTCCTGGGAGACAAACCACAGTTTGCAACATTTTTAATGCACAAAGGAATGGGGGGGGGATTGGAGGAGGTAGAGGAGGGTATAGTGGGGATTAATGGTGATAGAGACTTGGGGTGGTGAACACAGAATACAGTGTACAGATGATGTGTTGTGGAATTGTGCATATGAAACTTCTATAATTTTGTCAACCAGTATCACCCCAATAAATTCAATAAAAACGAAAAAAGGTAATGGGCTGGTTGGGTGACTAGCCTTCATTCCACATACGGAGCTCAGGTACAGAAAACAGCCCAACTGAGAAGTTACAGTTCATAGGGCCTTAGAGCCAAGAGCAGGAAACGCTGTTCTCTTGTCAGTCAAGGGAGCGAGGGTTCCATTTTCTGGGACTGAGAGGGTGAAAATAAATGTTTCTAAAGCATGGCAGACACCTGGTTTTCAACTAAGAGCAGAGACTAGATCAAGCCAGGCCTTCAGGCAGGCGGAATAGAGCCAGACAGTGCCCGGGGGAAGCCCAGCCTATTAGAGTGAGGCCAGGCAGGGCAGCTAGCAAGAGGACACCTTCACCGATAGCACCCATTCCGGTCACACAGCTCCCCCCAGATTCCTTCTTGGGGCCTCCGAGAAAGCACTGTCACAACATGGTTCTCAGGGACCTTGTGAAAGCCAGCCAGTCCCTGCCCCATCCCTTACTGCCCTGGGCTCAGCTACTTGTCACCATTCCTCCCGCTCGCTCCCACCCACCCACCTGGTCTCAGTTTCGTTCACTTTCATCCGCTCTTCCTCCTCCCCCTCCTCCTCCTCAGCGGCCTGGTGAGCCTGCAGCACTGCCAAAGCCTCTTCTACCTGCGAGGGCAGTGGGAGGGGCTTAGTGCAGGGCCCAGGAGAGCCGCGACCTCCCTGTGCTTCAGCGCGGAGATGAATTCCCCTCCCTCCGCGGCATTTCTGTAGTTTGCCAGCTCCCAGGACACAAACCCACAGTCACCTTCTCAAGACAGATGTACGCTGCTGGACAGCTGGGGAAATCGTAAGCCTTACACTGAGTCAGAACACAGCCCCTTGTGCCAAAACCTTGCCTATGGAGCTGCAGAGAATCCTCTGTGCCACTCCAAGATTCCGCAGGTATTAGCAAGAAGATAAGCCTCATCTGTCCAAGCAGCGGTGTGCTGGCTCATCTAGGAGACACCGTGGTCCTTAGTTCTCCCTGCCCTCAGGGCTCCCTGCCACCCAGGCCCCAGCCCACCTTGGCATTGAGGGACTCTGGAGACTCCAGCATGAGCAGCAGCTCCGAGTTGTCTATCTCCAGCAGCATGCCTGTGATCTTGCCAGCCAGCTGGGCGTAGACATCGTAGATAAGGGGGTAGAGACGCTCGCCTGTATGGAACAGCCTCTGATGGCTTATGAACACACCTGGCCGATCCCCAGCATCCCAGGGCTGGCATTGTGGAATGGAGCAGACATCTGGGTGGCTGTCCCTGAACTGCTCCTTCCAGTCTGTTACTTAACTTGGTTACCAATAGCCTCTTTCCCAACTGAAGTGGGCATAGCAAACCCTTCTTTGGAGGTCAGTCTGCAGAATCATATTTGATGTTAGACGGGAAATAGTTGCATAGGTTCTGACACAAAGGTGGTTGCTTTTTAAAAACTACTCTGGATCATTTTGCAGGAAACAGTTCAAAGTATACACACTGAGATTTTAGACAGGACATGATAATGCTGAACTTGACTTTTTTGGGGGGTGGGAAGCGAAATACACAAGATAAATTCACCTTCTACCATCAGGTACTTCTAGTGACGGGGCCTAGTGTTGGTGATCAGCCCGTCTGGGGTGCTGGGGTGCCTGGAGTGGAGTGGGAGAGATCTTCCCATGATGAAAGTCAAGATGTTTACAAGGAACTGCTAACAGAGCCCTTCTGCCTCTATTAAGCCAGGAAAATTCACTGAGAATTTTTCTCTGAGGTATAGGGAGTAAAGTGGCAAAACTCCAAGTGAGCTGAGGAAACAATGGGGTGGTGGCAGTGGGGGCCTACAGAGAAGGGTCAGGAGATCTTGGTGGCCTTAAAGAAAAGAACCTGCCAACCACTAGCAACCTTGTTCATTTGTTCAACAGTTAGTGGCAGGGCCTGTCACAGACATGGGCTGAATTGCACAGGAATTCAGGGTCCAGTGGAGAACAGCATTTTCCCCCCCAATGCATTTATTTCCCACCCCCCTGCAATGGGCTCCACTGGGGAAGCTGATGAAATGTGGTGACAGCTTCTTCCCATTAAGGGAAGATGTCAGGAACCGCAACACCCACCTAGGGGCCATGTCCCAGCCAAAACGCAAAACCATACTCCTCCTCCTGGCCCCTAATCTACCCATATCTGGGGTCTCTCCCAGCCTAAATCAAAGTCAAAAACAGCTGAGCTGAAGAAACCTTGGGAACATCTGGTCTGACCAGTATTTTAAGATGAGAGAACAGGGCCTAGATTACAGAGGCAACTGGGGCAAGGTCACCCAGCAGGTTGGTCAGCAGCAAAGCTGGATGCTGTCCTCATGTCTCACTTCCACTAGGCGTTTTCCACCAGGCTAGGCATCTCCCGGCCCCCTCTTCCTGCTCCAGAGCCGGGGAACCAGCTACTCACCAATCATCTGCTTTTGCTTGTACGGTGGTGCTGCGGCCAGCATGGACGCGGTCAGCGGCTCCTGTCCGGGGATGCACACAGCAGGCTCCTCGACCTGCACATGGTGCCAGGGACACATCCCTTAACCACCACGGACGGGCAAAGCCTCCAAACACTTAACCCTGTCAGGTGAGCACAGGCCTCCAGGAAGGCTCTGGAAGAGGGGAGCAGGGGACAAGGCATGGACGATCGGGTGGGACAAAGACCCCAACAAGGGCACGGTGGACTAGACGACAAAGTTACACTCTAATGTAGATGTTTTCCACAGTGCTTGGAACCTCTAAAGGCCCATGATGCATGCTGCCAAAGGAACCCACACCTTACTAATGACTCTGTGCCAAACAAAGCACTTTTGATCAAGTAGCTTTTATGGTCATATTTCCAATAGACTTCTGACCCTTTCACATCTTGATAACTTCAAAAGCATTTTGCTCTTTAAAGACTACTCTTGTTCATTTTGCAACAAATAGTTCAAAGTATACACAGTGAAATTCTGGACAAGAGATGAAAATGCTGAGTTTGAAACTTTTTGGAGGGAGGGGGGTGCAGGGAGATAAATACACAGCCTTTAAACTTAATGACAGTAGATATTTTCAGTTCTGTTCTGCGGATTAATCACATCCTTGCTGCTTAACACATAAATGTTAAGGAAATCCAAATTAAT